ACCAGCTTCCTCCCTATGGACCAGTAACACTGGTTCACGCTGATGTTCGTTTAGTGGATGCTGGAGAAATGCTAGGTGCTGTCCTTGATGTTATCGAAAGGAATGGTAGTGATGGGTGGTGTCAGGTAAGTTTAGTGGCTTCTCTGACTGGCATTTTGGCTGTCAAAGCCTCTACACACTTATAAAACAGGGAGGCTAGCCAGGCATGGTGGTGTACACCTGTAATCTCAGCACTCAGGAGGCTGAGGCAGGAGGACTGCCTCGAGTTTGAGGCCAGCCTGGGCTACATAGAGAGTTCAAGGCCAAGTCTCAAGAGTGAGACCTATCTCAACAAAAACAAAAACAAAAACAGAACAAGGAGGCATCAGATGAGTCACTGTAACTGTTGTGCAAAACCTCTTGGGGATTCAGCCGCTGGGAGGCTGGGTTTGGTGCAGCACAAAAGTACAAAGGTCTGCTTGTGCCGTGCCACACACACACAGGAAGGCTCTCAGGGGCTTGTTTCACCTGGGCCAAGGTCACGGAGAAGGCCAGGTGACGGCCGTGGGTCCCTGGAGTGGCCTGTGGAGTAGGAGTCCTCTCAGAACACAGACTGCTGGGAGCACCGCACACCTGCTAGGCCGGTACCTCTCCAGCACTGATGGGGCTAGCACCCCAAGGTGACTTCTTTCCTGGCTAAGCTGCCTGAGTGCTAATCCTGTCACTTAGGGATTTAGTAAAGTACAAATAGTTAAAGAACATTCTTTAGCTGAAGCTGCAAGTTAAGCTTCCTGGGGAACTTCGGGTGGGGTTTGTACTGACATGAAAGCCTTGTTAAAGGGCCTAAGTCATGGGGCCATCCCAGTGCGTGAACAGTACGCTGAGGATCTCTGCCACTTGTGTGCTTCCTAAAATCTGGTAGGACATTTACTTTCAAGGGGGCAGGTGTAAAATGAAAACAGCATGCAAAATGAACAGCATGTACTTCTGAGATTGTTCTGGGCTTAGTGAGTTACTGTGTAAAAAGCCAGGACCACTGCTTGCTACATGCTAAATGCTGTGCGATGACAGCTACTGTTATTTTTATTCAAATAGCACCCTGAGCAAATGCACTGCTCAAACTGGTGATCTGCTAGTCACTAAAGCCCACGGTTTGTCCGCAAGTCTCCTGTCTGCAACATGAATGAGGTCTGTTGGGATCCCCGCCCCACTTCCAGGCCCACCCTGTTTAGGCAGTTTACACTGTTTCCTTCGAGCCTCCCACACAGCCCTGTGGGCTCCTGCACAGCCTGCTCAGCTGACTGGAGGCAGAGCAGAAGCCCATCTGTTCGCTGTCAGGTTCTCACCTTGGCTCTGCTCTTTCATGGTTACCGAGCTGTTCCCTAGGTTTGTTCTCAGCCTCTGCTCCGCTTTGCTCTGCTCTTCACACTGGTTCTCTGCAGACCTTTTTCTTGGTGCTGGGAGCAGAATCCAGGCCCTCGAGTGTGCTGGCCTGTGCTCCACCACTGGCCTGCACACTCCCCTCCAAATCTCATTTGCTCTGAAATTTAATGCTTCAAATACAGCCTCCTCGGGGCTGGGGATTTAGCTCAGTGGTTCTGGCAGGCGGTGCCTGCAAGCGCAAGGTCCTGAGTTCAATCCCCGTGCCAAACAAACAAACAAACACAGCCTCCTCTCTATTCCTGTCATGCCTCTTAATGTGCAGACCCGACGTCCCAAAGCCCCTGAAATCCAACATGTCCAACTACAAACTCCTGATCTGTTTGAAGTCAGTTTTTCATCACTTCGTTGTTTTTCCCCCACTACTGGTGATTGAATCGGATCCTTGTATGTGCTAAGCAAGTGCTCTACCACTGGGCTCCAACCTGTCCTTCTTGAGACAGACTCTTGCTGAGTTGCCCAGGCTGGGCTTCGACTTGTGATCCTCCTGGCTCAGCCTCCCATGTAGCTGGGGTACAGGTGTATGCCACCATGCCCAGGTGAGATAACACTGACCCATCTCATTAGCAACTACAAGCTAATAGGTGACTTTGGTTAGGGTGGGTTCACTGTGTGGCAAAGGCCCAGCCAGGGTGAAGAACCCAGGATGGAAAGGGGCAGGGAGGGGATGACGGGGGATGCCCCCTGCAGTGCCTGCTGTGGGGATGGGTGGTAACCGCTTCTGTTCCCTGCAGGATGCATTGGTCAACGACCTCTCTGGACTGCTCATTTCCTAAGTAGGCACCTCTGGCCCCTAAGTTCCGAAGAGGGGGAGTGACTTAATCTGAATTGAAGAGGACCTGGCACGAAGTGTCTGGCAACAGGTGGAGCAGTGATGTGGAGGCGGGGCCTGCATCTCCTCCCAGCAGTAACCTGGCGAGCGTCTCGGTGCCATGTACTGCTTTCTCACACTCTGGTCAAGAAACTTGCGGGCAACCTAGAGGTCAGGGAGCTCTAGGAAGAGCTTCCCGAGCAGGTACTGTGTGGGGCAAGTGGCTGCCCGGGGCGGGAGTCTGTGAGGAGCCACTGTTTTGGGGCTGCCCGGGAGGTGCTGATGCGTGGACTGTGCAAAGCAGAGGGAGGTGTCTCACAGGCATTCACCGGCAGAATGAAGGTTTATCTTCATCGTGGAATGCTACAGGGCAGTCGCCATCTGGACTTGCCTCTGTAAGGCCAAGCAAGAGCAATGGTCCCAATGAGATGAAATTTTTATGGTGCTCCAAGTAATTCAGTTCATTTCAGACCAACTGGCTGGTTCTCGTGCTGAATACGAAAGCACCACAAACTGGTCAGAGGAGGCAGCAGGAAAGGAGTGGTGTCCAGCCTGGGACTCAAGATTTGGTTCTCTGTGCCACTGTCACCCGCTGGGAGCCTTTCGCAGCTGTTAGGCCTCTGCTCCCCTGTTACAGAGGCAATGACACCCACCTTCCAGCCCCTTCCTCATTCCTTCAGGAGCACCCATGGCCAGGCACACAAATGCTTGAGACTGCAAAGCGAGAACAGACTGTGACAGGGTAAGCACTGGGATGTGCCTGGCACTGCCACTTCACTGGCCGAGTCCCTGCAACGTGCAGGTGACGTCACCGCTCACTCTTCTGTAACTGACCGCCCGCGATGGGACTGACGGTGTCAGAGCAAGACTTTTCACTGAGGACTTGACATCCTCCAAGATGCACAGCATCTTCATGTTCAACCAATGTCGGCAGGCACAAATCTTTCATGCTTTCTGGATGCCATGGAAATCCCTAGAGTCAAGTGTGGGTGCAGATGTGAAAAGAAAGGACACTTGGAGCTTGCTATTGAAGCTACTCAGGAGGCTGAGGCTGGAGAATCCTGAATTTGAGGGCACCCTGGGCTGCAGAGCAAGATCTGTCTCCAAAATTAAATAGAAATACATTTGGGGAAAAGAAGCCAAAACCACAAAAGGACATAAACTGGAAATAGGGACAGAAGGAGCTGTGTATGTTTGCGCTGGAACACAGAGTATAAAAGTGAGTGAGTGACATTGCTGCTTTACAGAAAGGTGTTGGCCTCCTCACTTCAGAGGTGAGTGACAAACCGCGAAGGACCCTGGGTTTGGTCACCAGCACACAGAAGATGAGTACAAGGGACCAAGACACACAGGGCTCAGCCTTGGCTCCCTCCTGGGCATTCCCCCTGCTGCCTGTGTGCCAGGTGAGGTTTCCCCAGGGCGACTGGAAGCTGAGTTCTTCAGCACCACTTGAAGATTCAATCACTTTATTTTTGTGGTACTAAGAACTGAACCCAGGGCTCAGTTGCTGTTCCCACTCCTCAGCCCTTTTAAAGGTCTTTAAAATTTTGAGACAGGATTTTGCTAAATTGCCCAGGCTGGCCTTGAACTTGCAATGCTCCTGCTTCAGCTTCCCCAGCAGCTGGGATTACAGCACGCACCATCACTCCCAGGTGAACATTTATTTTTAAGTAGCTTTTTCCTAAGTGAGAAAAAAAAAATTCTCCTCTTGCCTCAGGTACATACAGCCCACCTCACCTCGACCCTCCACTTGAGCACTCAGGGAACTGCCTGGCCTCTTTGAGCCCCAAACTCTCCTGGTCTGCCTGGAGCTAGCTGCCCCCGTCCTAGCTCAGCTTCCTCCGAACACCCGAGGTTCTTCAGTCGGGTCCTGGCCCCACCCACCCCCAGCTCAGCTATCTTCCTCAGGAGTCAGATCCCACCACCCAGATCTGGCCTTTCCCAGGTGAGCTCTCTGTGGGTTCCTCCAGGCGCCCTTGTGTCCTTCTGTCCTGTCCCTCCTCAGGTCACTCTGCCCTTCAGGGTTCCCAACTTCCAGCCTCGGTGCCTCCCTGGTCCCCCCAGACCTCCTTGGTTCTCTTCCCAGGCTTCAGGTCTGCTAGTCTCGCCAAGGGTTCCTCCCCTGGACTGTGGGACTCAGACCCATGGCTGCAGATCCTCTGAGGCGCCTTGCTTTCTCCAAGTGTCCTCGAGTCCCTGCCCATCTCCTTGGGTCCTCCCTGCCTTGGCTCCATTCCTTTCTCCTTGGGTCCCCCCACCACCTGGGAGTCCCACACACCAGGCTCGGGTCTCTCTGGCCCTCTCGTGTCCCTCTGTGCCCCCTCGGCCCTTCTGCCAGGCCCTGGATCCATTTCTCCATGGCACCTTCCTTCTATCGGGGGCACTGCACACTGCTAATGTCACAGCTGTGTTCCTCGAATGCTTTTCACGATCCAACCACAAAGCAGAGCTAGCCAGCTTGCTTGGAGGATTCTGCTGCAGCTGTGCAAAGTGATACTCAGTCGAGTGGGCCAGCTGTGGCTGCTCCAAGACAGAACCCAGTGACATCAGGCAGCAGGGCAGTCACTGGTGGTCTGCACGCACTAGAGGGGTGGCAGCCGTGGCAGTGACTGGCTCTGTGGGGCCTACCCTGTGCTGCTCACAGCCTCCTGTCCGACCTCTCCTGGTCAGCTAACACGAACACCGTTCCCGAGGGCTCAGAACCCCCTTTGCTGCAGTGCAGGGGAGTGGGAGATGGGGGAGAGTGCGCAAGTGAGGAAGGAAGCAGGCATGCCAAACCTTCGTGTTTAATAGAATGTTCCTGACATCTACCAGGAGTCAAAGGGACTTGGTGGACAGTTCATTCTGTGGACTACAGAGCTGCATGGCTGAGTAAGCCAGTTTCTTCACCCCCACCTCCCAAGATTTTCCGGAAAATCCATGAGACAAGTGAGAGGAAGCACATCCCCTTTCCAACAGAGGCAGCATGGCTCTGGACGATGGCTTTATGACCTGGCTGCAGGGAGCCACTCAGCAGGGGCAGCCACAGCTGCACACTCCAAGCTGCGGGTCAGTGGTGCCAAGAGCCTCTCAGCTCCCCTGGCCGAGGTCAGGGGTCCACAGCCCTGGTGGCCCTACCCTTTAATGACGGCGATCGGCCTCAGTTTAATGGCCTTCTTGCTGATTCCAGCATCATGGCAGGTGTTCACCACGTCGGTCACATTCTTATAGGACTCGGGAGCCTGCAAGGAGGAATTAGACACTCTACGTCTCTGGAAAAGAGGCTCTTTTTAAGACCATGGACTTCACTTGTAATTACAGAATGCCCACTCAGACACAGAGGGTTTACTTTCGTCTATTAGCAAAGACTGAAATCACGAGTGAGTTCAGTGTCGGTAAGGGTAGTGAAACGTCTCACTTTGTTTTATACTTTTTCTGTACTCTTAAAAACTTTCTCCAAAAAATTACCTATATAGTTAAGAAAAGTAATAGATGTAAATAAAACACCCCCCCCGCCATCCTCTGCCTTGAAGAAAATGCACCAAACCATCTGCCAGTGACTGATATCTCTGCATAGAATCACTGGCAATTTACATTTTCTTTCTTTGTATTTCTGCAGTCGTCAACATTTCTGCAAAGAACATGTATATATTAGTAACTTTCTCTTCATAGTGAAGGAAGCTACTAGATTCACACATACGGAACTGAGCCGGCATGTGGACCGATGTGCACGTACGCTCACCAGTCACTTCACGCCCGCCTCCTCCCACCTCACAGCCTGCACTGTCTCTACTCACATTCACACGCTAGGCACACGCTCAGCAACATAAGGTTAACAGGTTCCGTTCAAACTACCGTTATAGCTCACACACAGAAACTACACCTGAACAGTGTAATTCACTGTATGGACTCAGGTTTGTAATTTATTTCCAAACAAAAGAGAAAACCATACTACCAAAAGTGAGATAAGCCAAGGAGGTCGAAACAGAGTCATTTACAAAATCCCAAAGAGCTTCTGTTAGTAAAATTAAAAACCACTTGGGCCGGGGCTTTAGCTCAGTGGTTCCACCACCTGCCTCACCAATGCAAGATCCTGAGTTTGATCCCCGGTACCAAAAATAAAACCAAAAACAGAAACACCAAAAAACGCTCTCTCTGCACTGGCACAAATGATAAATTATGCTTAATTATTTAGTAAAATTTCACTCACCTCTTCCATAACTAGTTTTGGTGAGGCAACCCGGATTGCAATTCCCATATCTGCCAATTTGTCCAAGACATCCTGGAAATCTAAATTACGGCGAGATTTTGCTCGGGACAACGCACGGCCCTAGAATGGCAAAGGACATTAATGTTGCTTGATAAATTCTGAGCTCAACCTGACATCTGACCCCAGCAGTACTTTAAACCTTTATTATACCCTTTCCTTGATTTTGTATTATTGTTATAGTATGTACATACGTGAAGGAGTGTCACTGTGTCACCTACACTGCCCTGGCTGCCTCAAACTTACATTCTCCTGTTTCAGCCCTGAGTAGCTGGGACTACAGGCACTTGCTACTGCACCACATTTTTTTTTCTTTTTTAACCAAAAAACTTTAAAAACTGCCTTTTATTACTTTACCAACCTTATTCTGTTCCTTGTATAATAAACTCATACCCTTTCAGAAGATACATTTCTTATGCAGAGAAACTCATACTTACAGATTTAGTTCTGCGCTAATTACTGCTATTACTTCAGCATGAACAGGAATTCTGACTGTGAGCAGGGTCTGTCACAGCGAAAGCTTTGTGGTCTTTGTGACTACAAGTGCTTTCTCAGCCTGAGCACGGCCGACACGCAACCAGGCAGCTCTTGGCCGTGGGCAAGCCTGTGTGGCACAGGCAGCATCCTCAGCCTCTACCTACTGGAGCTGGGAGCACCTTCCTCTACCCAGCCGTGAACACCACAAACGCCTCCAGACACTGCCAGTGTCGATAGACAGGAGGCCACTTCACCTTGGTTGAGAATCACTGTGCTTAAACTAGGAGGAGGCAGCAGGTGGAAATGAGAATTGGCCAGAGGAAAAAGGCAGGGCTGAAGTGTATTTGTGAGCCCTCTCCTATGAGACCCCGGTACTCGAGACAGTTTCTATTTCCCACTCCATCACTGGCTAGGTACTCTGATGGCTTCAGATAGGAGCTGGCAAACTACGGTTTGTTTGGTCCTCCACTTGTTTTTGTAAATAAGTTTTATTGGAACACAGTGATGCTCGTTTATATATGGTACTGTGGCTGCTCTTGCACTCCAATGGCAAAGCTCAGTAGCTGGTGCAGGGAACATATGGCCCAAAAAGCCCAACTACCTGGCCCTTTATGGAAAAAGTTTACTGATCCCTGGCTGAGAATATGAGAAGCAATGTGCTGATGTGGGTGTGCAGATGACACAGACTCTGATTTACAAATAGGATATGTCCCCAAATCTTGAGCATATGGCCCAGGATGGAGCAAATTAGGCAAATGAACAGTTTCCATCAATCACTGAGATAAGCTGATGTAAATGTGCATCAGTTCAAGTTGTATCACCAATGACCAGCAAAGTATGCTCAGCTCCAGTGACGATTTCCCAGTCTGGATTTCTGGATATGCAGGTAAGGAACAGTCCCTGGCCCTACCACAACCTTGCAAAGGTTAGACACAAGGTGCTTCAGTCAGTTCACTAAACCATATGCACTGGGGAACAATTCCCAGGTAGAACCCTCACTGATGGACTCAGACCTCAACTCTGCTCATGCTCAACCCGGTGTCTTTATCTGTCAAAATGCAAAACAAGAACAGAGCTGAGGACAGCACTCTATGCCGTTCCCTGTTCCTTACCGCGCCGTGACACGTGGTCCCAAAGGTCTCCGTCATCCCCTGTTCAGTGCCAGTGAGAACGTAACTGCAGGTTCCCATGGTGCCGCCAATGAGCACCGGCTGTCCAGTGAGCTGTGGAAGCACACAGACCAGACTCGTTAACACTTAGGAGAGCGCGGGTGTTCTCCATTGGCAATTTACATTTCTTGCACTACAGGATTGTGGGAGGAATCTGGGCCTCTAACCCACGCAAGACACCTGGCCTCTCATAGGCTCAGTTTCTTATTTGCAAAATGAGTGCAGACTAAGGGTGTTTCCAACTCTCCCAGAGCCACACGCTGGAAGAGCAAGAGGAGAGAAACAGATCCAGTCTAATCTTTATCCCGTCTTCTAGTAATTCACAGGCCTCAGCCCACCGCCAGGCGGTAAAGTACACTTAAGGCAGCACTTTCTAATGGCACACCGAAAGCACAAACGACAAAATGAGCCACTGTTCTCACGGGTGTTTCTCTCCACAAAGGCTGCTTTCCTGTTTAAATATGGCCACGTTGACAGGATCTAAATCACGGCCTTACTGCTGAAACCCACACAGCCAGGCCACCCACCTGGTAGTCCACAGCGATGAGTGGGTGGTGAGGAGGGAAAGCGCGAGTGGACCCCTTCCTATGCACCAGCAGTGTCCGCTCCTTCCCGTCCACCACGTGCTGCTCCACTTTGGCAATGTTGTGGGAAACGTCGTAGATCACATGCAGGTCCAGGTCGTCTGGGGTTGTGTTGAAGACCTTGGCAAAAGCCTGGAAGGAAAAGCTTGTGTTAAGAGGAGCCAAGACTGGCTCTTTGGAATCTGCCTTGAAGACTTCGACTAGTCTGTTCCTGCACAGTCAGGGATTCCAGGCCCCAAATGGCAGTGTTATTAACTGCATGTGAAGAACCACCACCTTTAGACCTCGCTCTACCCTGTAACCCAGCTCTGGGGAAAAGCTGTCTGGCTGCTCTCAAGCTTGCCCTCAGAAACGCTTCCTCTGGCCTCGCCCCACCTCTGTGAGTGCACTTCTACTCTCTCTGTAGCTCACACCCCAGGGGTTATCTGCATCCTCTTCTCCCACTCCCCAGGGCTGTCTCACTGCTGAACCAGAACCTAGGACACACGTCTGGTACTCTGAATAGGAAACCCTACAGGCTTTCATCTGACTGGACCGTGTTTCAAAGCACTTGACCTCGTCAGGATAAGGAGAACAGAAGAGCAACTCCACTGCACCTGGCGGGTTAGGAAGGTCATGGATGAGCGGTTGACCCAGGCGTAGTTGCCAGCAGCCGCCATTCCCTTTAGGTAGTCCTGGCCCTCTGGGGAGGCAATCCGAGCACAAGCCAACTGCCGGTCATTGACTATGATCTTGTCTCTTTTCATGGCCTTTTCCATGGCCACCAGGGCATCTGGAAGAAGAGGACAAGTCCACACCAGTGAGGCCTCTTAAAATACATCACTAGAGGGCCAGGAATTTAGCTCAGTGGTTCCGCCGCCTGCCTCACAAGCACAAGGTCCCGAGTTCGATCCCCGGTACAGATAAATCAATCAATCACTAGGACTGCTGCAAAGGCAGGATGCACTCCGACTCACTCTACAAAGAAACAAGTGAAACACAAGCTTCCCTTTAATGTGCTTCTGAGTCCGTTCATCTGCTCACCCAAGTTCTATTTGTTGCCCTGAGTGCAGTGGTGCACAACTATAATCCCAGCATGTATTTCAGAGGCTGAGGTAGGAGCATTGCTAATTCGAGGCCAGCATGGGCAGTTTAGTGGGAGCCTGTCTCAAAACAAAATTTTTTAAAAAGGGGCTGGAGATGCAGCTCAGTAACAGGGCACATGGCCAACATGTGCCATGGACAGTGAGGGCTGGGAACCCTCTTTTAGAGCGTGATGACACAGATTATGTGGGGTTGAATGACAACATCTGCCCCGTACACACCTGGAACGAGGCACGCACACACAGCAAAAACCCAGCCTTGACTCTCCTCTCCCAATAGAAAGTACATTTTATTTCCACTATGGCTTATAAAAATAATTCAGTGCTTAGATTAAAAAAGAGCTGGTGACAAGTTACTAGATCTTCTGTTTGAAAATCAAATTCATGACAGAATCAAACCCACGAATCCAGCAGTAAAATTCAGAAACACTAGTTAATTTTTGTATATGTTAGATTAAAAGTCTAAGGATCAGGCTGGCACAAATTATTAAATTCTCATAGGATAAAACAATACAAAGCTGCAGTATAACACAGAATTTAATGTTCACAGTTTCTATTTTGTTTTTGTTTTTGTTTTTGAGACAGGGTCTCACTTTGTAGTTCAAACTGACTTTGAACTCACTGTGTAGCCCAGACTGGCCAAGAAACACTGGGCAATCCTCCTGCCTCAGCCTCCCAAGTGCTGGGCTTATAGGTGTGCACCACCACGCCCTGCTAATGTTTACAATTTCTATGTGTCTATATACCTTTTCCTATATTCATTCATCCTTTCACACACCCTGTAAGTCATCCAAAGTAACCAATTTCCCTGCTTCCTGCTTTTGTTCATGCTTTTTGTCATCTGTGTACAACTGTTTAAACTGCAAGGACCTGCTCAAACATGTCTGAAACCTGTTTCCTAAACACTGTTTTTGTCTCTCTTATTTTATCAATTATAACCTTCTGTCTTTATTTTTTTTATGAACACAATCTCTTCTTTATGAGAGTGCTTGAAGGTAAAATACCCACCCATTCTATCAACAATTCCACTGTAATTCCTAATCTTCCAGAGCAGGTATCTCACATATGTTTGCTGAACAAAGCCCAGCTTCATCAAATCCCCAGTTTAAACACTGTCTTGCACTTTCTTGGCAAGACAGCTGAATAAATGTAAGCACAGATGGAGCTGACACTTACCCAGTACTTACTAAATGTCAGGCGTTCACTTAGTGCTTCATGGACATTACTCCCTTAACCTTCCGTGATATCACACAAAACAATCATGCCATTTCTTCAGTTGAGAAGTTAATTTTGAGGTTACACATGAGGAGACCAGGATAAACCAAACCCACGCAGCAGAGCTCAGAGCTGTCTTAGCATCTGTGTGGCGCTGAGCAGAACATTAGGTCTGGGCCATACCTGTGGCGACCTGGTGGCCCAGGCCCCGGCTGCCGCTGTGGATCATCACGCACACCTGCCCCTTGTGGTCGATGCCCATTTTCTTTGCAGCATATTCATTGAAGATCTCGTCCACAACCTGGATTTCTGCATAGTGGTTGCCTGCACCCAGGGTCCCCAACTGCGCATGTGAAGAACATGTGATAAAACAGCTTCGATTCTGGTGTTTATAAGAAGCCACTAGGTGGGCTAGGGATTTAGCTCAGTGGTTCCGGCACCTGCCTCAAAAGCGCAAGGTCCAAAGTTCGATCCCCGGTAACAAAAAAAAAAAAAAAAAAAAAAAAAAAGCAAGTAGGTGAAAACCACCACCATCACCACCAAAACAGCCATAGGAAGAGTGTTTAACGTAACAAAAAAATCTGAGTGTTAGCAGTGCCTCATTAATGTGCAACATTCCACACCACAGAAGTAACAGGTTAGTTCCCGAAGTGCATCACACCCATACACGCCTGAAGTACATGCACCTAAAAAGCTTAAAAACCAAAGCCCTGTGCCATTCAGTGGCTCATACAATGTTCTGAGTATCAGAAAGGAAGGTCACATTCCGGAGGAACACCGGGAAATGCTGACGCTCAGGCAGGGTCCAGGTCACATGATGTCTCGAGGGTCTGAGTTCACGGACACCCAGTGTTAACCATCACTGCAAGCACACACCGCAAGCGAAGCCAATGCACGACACAAGAACCAGGCAGGAGCAGTGCTGGAAGTTGGCAGAGGCTGCCTAGTTTTTGTTTTGGTACCAGGGATCGATCTCAGGACCTTGCGCTTGTGAGGCAGGTGGTGGCACCACTGAGCTAAATGTCTGGCCCTGAGGCTGCCTAGTTTTAACTGTTCCCACTTATTCAATGAAATAATGAGTCCCAGGGGCCAGAGAGCCTGCCTAAGGTCATGGGGCCTAGGGGCAAAGCACTCACAAGTAGCTATGGATTCAAACATGATATATTCTTCCCTCATGGACACTGTGAACTGGCATCTTTTTGTGTCTAAGATGCCAGAAAACTTTGGGTCCCAACCACAAACTGTCAAAATCTGTCCGCATATGATTTCAGCATACATGTAAGCTTACAATTATGTCCCGTTTTTGTTCTTTGAACTCACGATCTGTTTTATTTTATAAATATGAACTTTCTGATGGATTTTTAGAAAATGATGCTTAATGGGCCAGGGATTTAGCTCAGTGGTTCCAGCGCTGGCCTCTGAAGTGCAAGGTTCCAAGTTCGATCCCTGGTACCGGGGCGGGCGGGGGGGGGGAGATGATGATTAAACAGATCTGCATTCTTTCTGATACACTCTGAAAAACTTTTGAGGTATGTTTTTGCTAAATGAGAGACATAGACTCCTTTTTTCTTTGTTCCTGGGACTGAACTCTGGACCTTGCACTTGCGAGACAGGCGGTGGAACCACTGAGCTAAATCCCCGGCCCTAGATTCTTTTCTTAACATAGTAAAATTGGAAAACCCACCATGGGGGCCGGGCAGTCTGATTACCTGAGGAAGGCCTCTCTTTTTGGCCCTCGCTGAGACCTTGTTGGGGTCAGCCTGCAGCATCCTCCCGTACTCCTCACAGTGCTCCTTATCCTCGGCCCAGGCATAGCCTTCTCTCAGGGACCAGTCCACACCCATCTCCAAGGCCTCCTCCAGGTCTCTGTGGAGTAACAGAAAGTGCCAGTCCCCTCCAGCCAGGCACGTCCAGACCAGGAAGGACCAGTCCTATAGGGCAGAGGACTCTGCTCTCAGCAACTCCAGTGTCTTGAGGAAAGCGACCACATAAAAAACCACTATAAAAAGGGCAAAGGTCTTACCCCATGACTATACTTGTTCTACTTGGTTAATACAGCCCGGTACTTTTCAAGCTGAGGGACACACACGTTAAATGCTTAGAGGGAAGAAAGCTTTCACTTTCATCTACAGGCCAGCCCTTTTCCAAAGCAAGAATGCAAGAGGGAATTTTCAATATTGCTTTCCTCACTACCCCAGATGACAGGTCCTCTCCAACACTGGTCCATCAAAATTCCCATCTAAGACATCTGCAGAGACATTAGAAACTGATCTATGTCACATGTTTACTTTTCTGAGGGAGGATACACATCAGGATCCTGTGCAACAACAGAACAAGCACCTTTCAAGGGTACCTACCAGTTTACTTCAAGTGGTTTGTGTGTGTGTGTGTGTGTGTGTGTGTGTGTAGGAAATTATATAAAACAGCTAAAACATTTTTATGTTAATGTATACATATATTTGAAAAGAATGCAGAGTCCACAAGAATTTTAAAGATTAAACAGTTTTAAGACGGCAGAGCAACACCTCTGACTTGTCTGACACAGTTTGGCTACCCCAGCACTTTGTGGCGGTTAAGGCACTGCTCTGTGTGGGGTAGGAAACCCAACGGTCACCTGAGAGGCAGTTCCAGGCAGCCCTGCATTTAGTCCCCCACTGAGCTGAGAGCACGGCCTGGGCTCGAACCCAACAGGAAGGGTGTGGCTGCCCGGCTTCAGTGACTGCAGGCAGTGGGGCTCAGAAAGCAGCCTCTGAGGAGCCAAAGGGCCTTCCCTCTGAATCCCGACTCCCCTTTCCAAGCCCATTTACCCATCTTTCTCAATCTCCACCTCCTTGTGTAAGTAAACAGGGTGACTGTCTACATGAAATGGTAGGATGCACAGCGCCTTACATGGAGGAAGAGCTCGTTAAGGGTCAGTGGCCATCATTCTACTATGAATACTACTGTGCATCAAGGACTGCTTTACCGATCAGCAGTGGACGGAGGTCTACGAATAGGCTGGATCTCACACTTGAAACAGCAACTCATATCTACGTCCCCGAAGTGACGGAGCAACAGCCACCTCACAAGTATCCCAGGACGGACAGGAGGCTGAGCCCATGTGGTTTTCCTCTCCCTCCCTCACTGCATAGTGCACTTGCTTACTTGGCATTCATCGGAATGACCCCTTTGGACCCCACGCCAACAGGAATGTGGTCAAACATCGCTTGGGCCAGTTGTTCCTTCACGGGTTGGACATCACTTTCATCCAAGTTGGTTCTCAGCAGGCGGACACCGCAGTTGATGTCAAACCCGACACCACCTACAAAATACAGAACAGTCAGTCAAATATTAGCAGAACCAAGTGGTCAGGCAGTTGTCACCTGAAACTTCTCGCCATTACTAGTGTTAAAGATATCCATCTTCTTAGACTCAACCATGTTTTAACATAGCCATTCAAGTGGCTTCTGCTGAGTGATATCTGGTGACACTGAATTAATCCAAAGTAACACAAACATAATTGTCCTGCTTCAGCCTCCCAAGTGCTAGGACTATAGGAATTCATCACAACGCCTGGCTTACAACTGAAACTTTGAATCTTTTGATCGCCACCTCTCAGATCATTCCCCTCTGGCTACACCATTCCATTCTCTACACATAAGTGAGGTCGTGCAGTAGCTTCCTGAGCTTTTTTTCCATTCAGTCCAAACATCCTCAAGGTTCACCCATGCTGTACCAAATGGAAGGTTTCCTTTCTATTTTTTCGCTTTATTAAAAAAACTGCCCTCTTTCAGCCTGAGCAACATTCCACTGCAGGTATGTGAACGTATGTACGTATGTGTACACACACACTTGCGCTTTCTCTACTCATTCATCGGTCCACGGGTGCCTGGGTTTCCGCACCCCAGGCTCTGTGCTCAGAGCTGTGGGGAACACGGGAGCACAGCTCTCCTTGCAAGACAGTGGCTGCGCCTGCTGTACCACATGCAAGTCCCAGCTTTGCCTCTGGGAGCCCTGCGTCATTCCACAAGGGCCGTCCCAGCTCCCAGCCCACCCAGTGAAGCAGGGTGCCTGCCCTTTGTTCAGTGTTCTCCATTTCTAGGCACAGCACCATTTATTAGCAGTTGAAACTGTTTTCTAATTTCTATTATGCTTTTTTTTTTTTTCAACTAATGGGTTATTTACATTTTGTTTTTGGTACCGGAGATCGAACTCAGGACCTTGTACTTTTGAGGCAGGCAGCAGCACCAGAGCCAAATCCCCAGCCTGAGTAGTGGGTTATTTAAAAGCATACCTCCGGGATGGGTCTCTTGCAAATGGGAGGCATCCAAGAGACCAAGGGTGGGGGGAGTGGAAGGAGAAATAAGTAGAATAAAGACATGCCACGCACAGCAACCTAATAACCTTAATGAATGTAAATACCAGAGGCCATAAACATGAGTTAAAATTAATAATATCAATATGAATGAAAATAGGAAAAGGGGAATTAGAGAAGGGAGGGAGGGGAAGGGGAGATTTTAAAAACAAAGGAAGCAAGTGGTATTATGTACATGCAACCACTCCCCAAGATGACCTCGTACTGCAAACATGTACTAAAAAAAACTGCTAAATTTCCAAACATATGGGGGTTTTTCTAGTTTTTTTTCTCTCTCTAAATATCTAACAACTACACTGTGGTCCAATGAGAAAAACTCTGTATCAGTTGTGCTTAAGTGTGGTCCAGAGACTGGAGGGTGGGGAGGGTCGAGAGGCTTTTAGATCTGCAAAGTAAATTTTCTAATAGGCCTGAGCCACTGTTCATCTCTCGTCCTTACCTTCTCATGAACATATAGCGAGATGTGAAAACATCTCTGTGCTGACTGACAACAAAGACGAAGCATGTACTTGTGCAGTGAGTTTTTAAAATCTCTTTTAGATTCATGAAGCCAGGGATTTCGCTCAGTGGCAAGTGCAAAGTCCCGAGTTCAATCCTCAGAACTAAAAAAAAGTTAAAAGAAACTTTTTTTTTTCTATTACCTGCTTGCGAGGCAGGTGTGGTGCCACTGAGCTAAATCCCCAGCCCTTTCTTTTAGCTTCTAACACAGTAAACACTGATAAAAGCCTTTGAGAACAACCCTCAATAATTGGCAAGAGTTCTAAATGGGTCCTGAGCCCCAAATTTCGAGACTGGCACTCTGAATGATTTTAGTACTTACACCTGAGACCTGCTTCCCAGCACGGCATGTGGTCAGTGCTGGTAAACCTTGTGCGTCTGAGGAAAAAGTACAGCATGCACTTCTGAGGAGACCACAACACACACGCAGACATGACCAGCACACGCTGGGGTCAAAGTCCTGAGTCTGTTCACTGGGTCATTCAAACCCCTCATATCCTTACTGACTGAATCTGCCATTTCCTCAAGAGAAAAACTGTACTCAGTGTTGGGTTCACACATGTGACTTTTAAAAATCTCCCTCTGCATTTTGACCTCACAAATTCTTACTGTCTTAGTGGCTTTTCTGTGCCTCCAGTCAGATGGCTTTTCTTTTTGCTGTTTATAAATTTTACCTGGTCTAGTGCTTGCTTCAGCAGCACATATACTAAAATTGGAATAATACAGAGAAGATTTGCATAGCCTCTGCGCAAGGATGACATGCAAATTTGTGAAGCGTTCCATATTTTCCCGCATCTCAATATAAACACTGCTGACAGGTTCTGAGCTTTGTTTGATACAATTAAGTTCTGGATGATGGAATAAAGAAAGATGGGTCCTAAGTGGGTTCTTTAAAAAAAAAAAATTTACCTGGTCTAAAAAACCTAGTCAAGATTTTGCAAAATGGAGGAGAATGGTCTCAACATGGTGCTGCTCACTGGCTTGCTGCCTTCTCCCTGCACTTCTTTTCCATGAAGTGTTTCTCCTGTGATGCCCCTCTGCCATGCTGCCTTGCCTTGGAGTTAACCATGAACTGAAACCTCTACAAACTGAACAGCTATGGAAGCTAAATCATCACCTGAGAGGTACTTGAAATTAAACTCAACATAATGAGAATACACTGAGAGGCTGAAGGACACATTTTTGAAAGGGCTAGTGGAACTGGTTATCAAAGACTTCTTATGGCTATAAGTTATAGGCATAGTCAAAGACTGCTAATAGGACCTCCATTCTAAAGAAAGTAACAATATTAGCGGGCAGCAGATCTCAATTTCAAACACAGGCTACAAGTCTACTGGATGGTACCAACCACACCCAGGGAGGGTCTTCCCTCTTCTGTAAGTCCATCCTCTGAACCCAGAACTGTGATAAACCAATCAGTGGACAAAGGCAGTATCACACCCGTGATCTAGTTCCTCCCAAAAGCCCCACCTATGAGCTCATGAGGCTTTGGGAGTCACCTAGATACAAACTGTAACACTTACATAGTCATAATCATGTAAACTGAGTGTTTATGTAAAAAAAGAGAATCATAACTATATCAGGAGTTTGGAGAGAAGCTGTTGGAAGTGTAGAATGGCTACACTGTAGGAAGTAATTTGGAATATGCAAAATCAAAACAGTACTCAGAATGAGCAGTATGAACATGTTATTTAGAAACTTGGAGCAAATACATGTTTCTTTCGGGGATCAGGATGATGGTGGAGGAGTGTGGCAAGGATACTGCTTTTTACTGCAATCTTTCATCTAAAAATATGTATTTCTCTGACAAAAAATTAAAATTAAGTTATGAAAGGTAACTGATTAGAAAATGACACATTTTTCAAGTATTATTAATAAAATATAAAGGAATTGGTAAAACAAAACAAAACAAAACACCTAGTCAACCATCACCAGAGGCAGAACTCTGAGGCTGTTATTTAAACTTTCATTTGTCATTCCAATTCTCTGAAAGTAAAGCTGTCCCTCTGGGGATGAATGCTGCCAGGGTACATACCCCATAACTACAGGAGGAGGATGTGTACAACGAGAGGTAAATACACACCGAAGTGAGAAGAGCAAATCAGTACCTACTGTGCGCCCAGCGCTGGCCCGAGGATTTTACACAGCCAAGCTCATTTAATCCTCCCAGTGATGTCGTGTGCTAAGGAACATTCTTAGACACAATCTGCCTTATGAAGCAACTGGATCACAAAGACACAAAACTTGCCAAATGAATGCTTCGGTTCGTTTTGCGGCCAGTGTCTGAATACTATCTGGCATTTGGAAGGAGCCCAAAAGATTTGCAACAAATACATGTTTTCCTTGATATCTGAACTTCCCCCAGGTGTCCACAACAGATTTTCTCAGTAAGTGAGAGGAAAGGAAGTGACAGAAGCGATGAGACTGGGAGATGCATACAGAGCAAAGCTGTGCTCTGTCTCAGCAAGGCCATGGGCCATGGGAGAAGCCGCACACCTGAAGCAGACCGACTCAGTGACCTTACCTGGGGACACCACTGCTTCCGGGTCATTCATATCAAAGGCTGCCATATTCCCAATGGCAAACCCATAGCCTGAGTGGACATCAGGGAGCCCAATGGATCGCTGGAAGAGAATCAGAAAGTGAAACACAGCTGTTGGAACCTGGCACTACACTACGGTCACCTGATGGGACCAATACTGCTTCTTAGTATCAACACTTTCTTCCCACAAAATCTCTACTGGTGAAAATGAGGATTAAGAAGACCTAATCACAAAGCTAAATACAATTAGGAAACAAATCTTTTCATAAAGTCTAACTTTTAACTAAGGAAACGCCTCAGCGTAACAGTGTATAAAAGGGCTTTAGAGTAGCTTTAATATATTATTACCTTTTAAAGGTGGTCCCAAGACACTGACAAATCATATTGTATCAAGTTAGAAATAACTGCAATTTACACTGGTCATTAGACAAATGCAATTTATGTGATGCTATGCATACTGAATGCTTTACACATCCACGGCATAGAAAAGGAGCCTGTCCCACGAAGAGAGCACATCAAAGACGGCAAGGCTTTATGGAAACACCTAGACACTTAGGTGTTTTTACCTGCACAAGTCATGTCCTTTCATCTCTGCCCCTCACCCACAGCCAACTAACCGCCATAAAGGACTCACATACACTGTTAGATGAATCCACTTCCACATGCACCTGCAGGTGCAGTCTGAATGTTACACTGTGTGGCCCATTGGTACCAGACAACCTCATCCCTGCTATTCCCACTGCCCTCCTTTTCCAATCATGTTCAGAAGAGCTACACTGTCCTCTCTCTATCTCCTCGCTCCCAAACCTTAAACTTCTCTTCTTTCTGCTCCCTCTCCAACTATCTTCTAGAATAGGGCCACAGCAAAACCTACAAGGGCAACACATGACCCAGGAACAATGATGTCATTCTGACAAAGAAATACAAAAATAAAAACTACGGCAAAGGTTCTCAAGCACTTATAGATTCCAGCCAAAGGCAGTCAGAAACTGACAATAATCAGACTCAATTATGTCCGAGATCCTTTGGTTACTCTAAATGATACCACTATCTATCAGATATGGTCATTCACCCATCCACAAACTTTAGCCATGGAGAAATAGAAGTAATTAGGGTTCTGAAGTCTGACTCACATGAACAATCCCAGGCAGGGCTGCCACATTACCAATCTGCTTCATGGCTGGCAGGAAGCCACCAACACCTGGAATTAAAAAGTGGGTATTAGGGGAAAAAGAGCACTTTTGATTTCAGCATGAATACGTTCGTGTTTCTAGACTGCCTTACACAAAGGGGCAGTGGGTAAGGCTTCTAGCACAACCAAGTGGGAAAGGGTGGGTGAAATGCAAGTGGGAGGGGAGCTTCTGCAGAAAGGCAGCCCACACTCAAGGCAGACTGACTACTGCACTAATTACAAACATTTCTCCGGGGTCCCGCATACACCTTGACAAGTATGCTTGCAAATGTGCTGGGTTACCCAACGGAACTGCTAAACTATGTTGTCAGGGTAGAGAGAAGGTATTCTTTCAACAGTTCTTACTACCACCAACCCCCTAAAAAAACCAAAAAAGGCTTAATCTAAGTGATAGAGGAGGGCAATGGAAAAGCAATGGCTTGAAAGTCAGGGGCCACAGGGTTCCTGTGCGGCTGTGTCACTTTAGACTAGGGAGCATACCCTGGTGGGGGAGGGAGGGCTTTAGTTTGCTGATCTTAAAAATAAAAGGTGCTAAAACTAGGTGATTTCTATTTCACTGTCACCATGAGAGGTTTAAACCCTCATCTCAGACCCTCATGGCAGCCCTGCAAGACCGGGGTAACAAGTCCTACTTTATTAGTGAGATGCTGGTTAAGAATGTTGGGTTTGAAAGTGGACACTACTGGATTTGAATTCTGGCTGTTACCAAGAAGCTGTGTGACCATGGGCAAATTAAAATTACTTGACCTCATGACACTTTGCCTTATGCATCTGTAAAATGGAGGTAATACCCACCTTTTAATTTCTCTTAAGTATTACATGAACAATCTATGGTAAGCACTGTTAAAATGCCTGGCACGCAGTAGGTGCCTAAGACATGGGAGCTCCTACTATTACTGTTCGAGGTTAACTGAGACACAAAGCAGGCGCTCAGCTCCAAACCCTGCCTACAAGCCCACGTGGCTAAAATGAATAGAGACAAGTCAGTGCTGTGGTTTGCTTCAAGTCTTGATAATTTCTTGACAATATTTTAAATATGATAATTATTTGAGTCACTATTTGTTCAGGTCACATGTTAGGGGCCACTTGTAACACAAATGAAACTAACGTACTCACCACCTCCTCGACAGGCATTCCTTAATTCCTCAAACATTAATTTTTCTAGAGCATCATTCACATAGAAAACCCCTTCAACCTTGAGCCAAAGGAAAGAAAAAGCAATGTCTGAGCTCATGTAGGTGAAGTACAGGTGCAATACACAGAATAACTACATGCCATAGTTTGCTTTATTTTTTATTACATTTTCCTTTTACCTTTAACAAGAGGAAAACTTCCTATCAAAGACTAAAAGACATTCAAAGGGTTTCAGATTTTGGAGCATTTCAGATTTCGGGTTTTTAGATTAGGGATACCCCTCCAAGAAAGTCTGCAAATAATCCAAAATCCAAAACTCCAAAATCAGAAACACTTCAGGTTCCAAGCATTTCAGACGAAGGATAAGCAATGTGTATTTCGCAATGTTCACACAGTGCTTTGAGAAGACTGGTATGTTCACCCCAATTTGCACCTTACACATATACATGCGTGCTGAAACATCACATGGTGCCCCATGGCATGTTCAATTTTTCCCTGTCAATTAAAATACTAAAGGACAAACAAACAGCCCTCTCTCCCAAAACCAAAGGGAAAACAGGGCACTGTTAGGTCCCTGTAGGCTGCTTCTCTCCTCAGCGCCCAGCAAGGCGATGTGCTGACAGGGACCCGTGATGAGCTCTGATGCCCAGTGAGAGTGGAATGGCTATTGGGAACCTCTTCCCAGCACAAGGCTGTGAACCTTCAGCACACTGGTACGGCCCTTGAAGGGATCTCAAAAGCTGTCACACTGGTGCACCAGCACCTCACGCGTGCTTTTTCTTCACACTGACATGTACGCCTGGGAGAGGCAGCAGCTTCGCCTTTCAGACTGGGGTCTGGGGCTCCCAGGTCTCCGTCAGGAGGCACCACCCTGTCAGGGAAAGAAGAGGACTGGGCCTGTCCTGGCTGAGCGTCTTGCTGTGTGGGTGTGGACAGTATAACCACTGTCGCCGACCGGTCCTCAGAGCCCTGCCACGTGTGTACTAAAACCACCCCTGCCTTGTTCATCTTGGCTGCTGTGAGAAACAAAACCTCGTTTTTTTCTCTGGCGGTCCTCGGTACTGAACCTAGGGCCTTCACACTGAGCTACAGCCTCTCTCCTCTCGTCTTGTATTTTTTTAATTATTATTATTTCTTAATTTCAGACAGGGTCTGGTAAATGGCCCAGGCGGCCCTAACTTGAGATCCTCCCGCCTCAGGCTCCAGAGGCCTGGGATTAGAGGCTGTGCGCCACCGCGCCCGCCTACAAGACCGTTCTCTTACAAACCAGCAGAGTGTGAATGCTAGAAACTCGGCTTGGGAACACGGTAAATCACCTCGAGAACCGCGTAAATCACCAGCGTGACTCGGAGGGGCGGAGGAGCGGCCGCAAGGCGGAGTGCGCCCGGCTGTGCACCTCGGAAAGGACTGGTGCAGTCTCCAGGACAGAACACTTAGGTGTGGAAGCCGCTGCAAGGGTCCGCCGGTGCGGGGAGGGGCGGGGCCCGGGGACGGGAGGGCGGGGCCGAGCAAAGCGGGAGAGCTGGGGGGGCGGGCCCGAGAGGACGCGGGCGGCGGCGCTGGACACCGGGCCAACCGCAAACACGCCGCCCCGGGCCGCGAAGGCCCTGCTGCTCCGCCTCACCTGCATATTAGGCACGAAGGCCTTCTTGATCCTCCAGCAGTTCTTGTTGATCTTTTCCAGGAATTGCAGCTCATCGTTGTAACTGCGGCTCATGGTGACGAGCACGACCGAGCGCCCGGCTCGCTGTGGAGAAAAGCTGCTGCCCGGCCGGCGTCACAGGGCGCCACACGAACCCACTGCACAGACGCGGGCGCAGACGCGGGCGCAGGCGCAGATGCACGGCGGACGACGGCGAGCGCCAAGGCTCGAAATTCCTCGAGCCGATCGCTTTCCTCTTGTTAGACTGCCCTCTAACATTTGCTTTATGGCTCTTCAGGAGCGATCTCAACTGCCGCTAAGCGCAAAGATAAACTAAATTTGGTCGTTTTTTTAGCGTGACCTAGGTGTCTTTTGTTGGGGAAGTGCTTTTGAGCTGCACACGAGGAGACCTCGAATCTGGGGCAGGTCCATCTGTTTAAGGGATGCGTGGGGTTGGAGTTCACCCCCAGGAGCGAGGGAAGATGCAGCCCGCGCCCAGGAAGGGCAAACGGCGCAGATCCAGAATGAATCTGCGCGTGCACAGCGCGCTGGAGCCGATAACCCCACAGGACGAGCCAGAAATTCTAGCATTTATTCCAACCAACACTTCGGGGCTCCCGCTGAGGTCAGAAATGTGCCGTGCTAAGGTGGGCGATGGGCATGTATCAGCTCCCCACCACGAATGTCACTGTGTACGGCCAACACACGCAGGCGAGCTTTGAGCGAGTTGTGTCCAGCCCTGTCTCTGGAAAGGACAGAAGCTTCAGAATCGGGAGGACTTGGGTTCGATCTCTCCCTGTGCCATTTACTAGCTGCGTGCGAGGAATTCCCCTTCAGCTCTGCTTCTTCACCTACAGAATGCATCGTGATTCTTTCTAGAGTGTTGTGAAGATGAACGAGATAATGCTTCCAAGTCACCGGTACAGGGCTCGCCCCTTGGTCAGCGCCCTAAGCCTATCTCTTCTGTCCCCCTCCCGACTGTAAAGGCTGCACAAGAGGTTCAGGTTTCTGTTCAGTTCTTACATTATCCACAGCGGTTCCCTTCCCTCCTCCTCAGCCTCAGTTTCACCCCACTGCCTACTGCTCGAACAGCATTGAGTATAAGCTCCGAATTGGCCAAGCTTAGGACTCTCCACTGCCCTTTCATTGAATGTGTGCGTGTGTGTGTGCGTGTGTGTGTTCATCCTAAAACCGGAGCAGATGATACAAGGTGACCCAGGAAAGATTTGAGAGGTCAGGAATTCCCTTTTAAAATCACATATTGATCTCTGTACAACCTGGTTTTGAGTTAAAGAAAATAAATTCACTTGCCTTTTCTCTCTCATTAAAAAAATGCAGAGCAGGAAATTTCTCAGAATACCAGACTGATGTTGATAGAAAATGGTTTTAATCAGACATACGGGACTGTATCAGCGAATATAAAATGTAAAATCCAGTATGCAGGGTAGAGAAAAAATGCTAAAGGAGGGAACTGAAATAAATACAGACTTAAGAGTTTTTACCCAACTAGTCAGAAATACACGTCTTGTTCTTGACCCCAGACACACTGCATCTGCACCTCACAGTGCAACGAGTGTCCCTCTGCACACAGCACACAGACCCTGTTCAGCCCTTTAACCCAGGTGGCCTCATTGCACTTCCTAGAGGCTCCAGAGGGCAGAGTTTCTGCCTCCGATTTTCAGAAGGGCTTTCAAATTCCACTGTGTTCTTCCCCTCTGGGTGCTGTGGGATAAGGGCCAGGTACTTCATGGGGTGGATGTGAACAGACATCAAGGGGCTGGCTGCCCCATCCTTTGTCCTCTTATCATGTTCAGATCTTCCCAGCCATGGAAATGGAAACTTGGCTGCTGTCTCGAGGACATTTCATACTTCAGGTCAGTGGAAATCAAAACAAAACCCTGAAAAGGACGCAACAATGAACATCGAATTTGGAGCAAGTCTGCGTTTGTCTGGGGGTAAAGGAGGGATGGCTTCTTTACCCAGCCCCAAGGTGTCAGTCTCCTCCAACTTCTGACCCCACTTGTGAGGGCCTCAGAGGTAGGATTGGTGTCACCAGTGTGACTTAAGCAGTGGGAGGTGGGGAGAGAGGAGTCTAGGAGGTGAGACAGGGTGCAGGGTGGCTTATAGGACCAGAGATTCCTTTAGAAACTCGCTTTCACCTTCTGAAACTAAAAATGTGCCAAAAAGAAAGGAGGAATTAGAAGGTTTTATGAAGTTAGTAATAATTAGCTAGGAAACAGCTCAATAGGTTCCTGGGCCCACAGGCTGTCCATTAACTGGGAGAACTGGAAGAGCCAGTCTGTCCCAGCCTCCCCGTTTGCAAACTACCTAGATCACTTCACCTCTTACTATCCTCATCTGGAAAATGGGGTTAATAATCCCATCCTCACAGCTTGTCTTGTGGAGTAAATAAAGTGTACTAAAGCATATCTTCTTGTACTGTAGAGTGAATAAACTTGGCTAAGTGAAATTGGACTTAGTCTGATTTTTAAACCTTTCATTGTTAATTGCAAGCTCTAAGAGCTAAACATTCTGTTTATAAAGCTCCTCCGGCTGGGAAAAGACAAGAACAAAATAAAACACCAAATAAATAAGCAAAACAGGAGGAGGCTTATTTTACTTTGAGAAGGAAATCTTACCTCAAAAACTTCAATATCTGAATTGACCAATGAGACGTTGTATGGCCGGGGCAGGGGAAATCCTTGCTGCAGTTTGGCTAAAATACAGAAAAGATGTAAGTTAATTGGGCACAGGCATAGATGTTTTGGGAAACTTTTTAGACAAATAAGCAGCTTTTTGACAGTTCATCTTTCATCTTCTTCCTCATTCTGTTTTCCCTCTCTCTGGTGTGTCCCTAGTATTTTCCTGGAATAATTGTTAACCCATCTGTGTTCAATAAAAATACACCTGCAATTATGTGCATTTATGCTCTAGAAAAATGATGTTCTTTTTCTACTCACCCAATCTATATTTTGAAAATACCTAATTAGTGTGTCCTGAGAACATTTCAGAGTCTAACGTAAGAGCATTTTAGCCAGGTGCAGTGGTGTACATTTCTAATCAAAATACCAAGGGAGCCCACAGCAGGAGGACTGCAAGTTCATCCTGTGCAGTTAGCGAGACCCTGTCTCAAAAACTAAAAGGGCTGTGTATGTAGCTTAGTGGTAGAATACCCCTGAGTTTGATTCCCAGTACTGAAATATAGTTTGTTTGGTTTTATTAACTGAGCCAAACTCCAGATGCTGTGGTTTGTGAATCATTGTGGAGTGGGAGAGGCCCAGGGTTGTTGTCCAGTAAATTGGTCCTTGCGCAGGAACCACAGAGCCTTCCCAGGGAGAATCACGGCATTTCCCGCTGGCCTGAAGAATGCTTTACTATTCGATGCTATTCGATTCAGCAAGAGTTGGTGCTGAGTTTAAATAAGTACAGTTGCTAACAAGACTTGGTGAAGGGAGGGGAAGGGGAAAGGAGAGAAGGGAAAGGAAAAATTATGAGAAAAGAAAAAAAAGTGGAAATTATGTAAATAGGGAAGGGTGGAGGGGGTGAAGGGCGCACAGGTAATGGGGAAAGAATAAGAACCAAGATACATCATGTACAGGTACAAGCACCCAATGATAAATGTAAACGTGTTGTATACCTAAAATGTACCAATAAAAGAATTTAAGAATAAAAAAAAAAAAAAAAGACTTGTGCCTGGAGTAACCCTGCGGATGGCAGTATTTACTGTAAACTCTGGCTCTGGCCTGGATTCCTAACAACACTGCAAGGACAGGTTCCAGGGTGGAAAGTCCCAAACCATCCCCAGGTTTAACCAACATCAGTGCCATCATTTCCCGAGTCCCTTACTGTTGGCCAGGGGGAGGACTGCGAAGTGCAGGATGGAGGACAGAATATTCTCGAACCTCAAGACCTGCAATGAAGGAGAAAACTACTTCAGCTGCCCAATCAAAGCACTTTGGAAACACCACGCATCGCTTGACATGCACTTTCCCGGACTTCACCCGGAAGCAATAACCGGAGCTCTCTCAGGGGACATGCTAGCTCTGTGGGAAACCCCACTACTGGGTTTCCTGGCAGTGTCTCTCCTTAGGATGGACATTCTGCTCCGCTCTGTGCTGGGTCCTAGTGATGGCCAAGGCACAGGAGCCCCGGGGGCAGGGAATGCAGCAGCTTAGATACCCGCCAAGCCAACTAGTGGCCCTCCCTTTGCCTACTAGGAGCCTCGCCCACGGGAGAGCCTTCGTGCTATGTACTCTGTGGAGTCACCTCATCAGCGGAACATGCGGCTCATCACTAGTAAACCACGGGAGTCGGAGAGCCTAAGCGAAGCTTTGGCTCCAGGGAAGATCCAGGAACTGAAGATAAATGGACCAGGGTGAACACCAGTTCGTCCGTGACTCTCATTCTCTGTGCTCAGCACCAAGGACCTCTGCAGCTGACCAAGTGTGGCTTCAAAGCCAGAATTCCCAGGTTTTCTTCTTGGTTTTGCCACTTGCTATGTGATGTTGGGAAAGTTACTAAACCTCTCTGCCCCTGCCTGTTTCCTCAGCTATAAAGTGAAGAAAATAATAGTCAGATGCTTGTGCAATCCTCATTGTCCTCATGTCGTAGGGTGGCGGTCAGGATTAAACAAGTTAATATTATGCGGAATGCCCACATAAACCACTGCCAATTCCCCCGACACGCAGTGGCTAGCACATTCTGTTGTTGGTGCTGAGCAGTTTACCAGAGTCTTCCTGGAAGATGTGGACTGACCCTGCCTTGTCTCTGGGGAAACACTATGGAGGAGAAAGTCAGCTACACCTCCTCCTGACTGTCACCCCCAGTGGCTGTGCCCTGGGGTGCTGACCAGCAGTGCCTGGGACAGTGTCTGGCCTGGGATGTGTGATTTACCTCCCAGCCGTGGGCACCACTGCTCCTGGCTGCCAGTCTTCCCAAACTGAACAGCAAGATGCTCCTCTAAAATCAAACAACCAGGCACATACCTGGCTTGGCTTTCTGGCCAGGTTCTCTAACTTCTTGGCTATTTTCCCTCATATCTGTTCCTATCCTCTTGCCATGTTTCTGTTGAACACGGTAAAAGTCAATCCAGTACCCACCGTCTCCCGTGCGCTACCCTGGGAGAGGCTAAGTGATTTATCGAAGTTCACACAGTCAGTAAATAGGACTTCTGTTTGGCCTCAGAGTTATGTATGAAGCTATTGTTAGATACTACCCTTGATCAAGAGGCGACAAGAACGGGAATGATTTTATAAATGTGAGAACGATGGCTATCATTTCCTCAATACCTGCCAGGCGTCAGTGTGCTCAGTGGATTCTGTAGATAACTGCAGTCCTGAGGTGTCGGTCCTCACCTGGATCCACTGCTGCCTCCTCTGATTTACTTTACGGCATTGTCCAGCGTGTACGACATCCGCTTGTCTGCCTGCTTTTTCCCTTCGCCCGGCCACTCTCTCACCCATCCCAGAACAGGCTTCCACCCGAGGCCCGAGTGCTATTCTGGGGTGGGTCGTTCTCTGTCTGGGGGGCTGTCATGTGCACCTCCCTGGCCTCTGCAGGATCATCTTTCCACCCCAGGTCATGACAACTAAAAATGTCCTCAGACATTGCCAGAGGCCCCTGTGGGGGCCCAACTGGGCCCTGGCTGAGAGCCACTGCCCTGGGACGTGAGTGCCAGGCAGTGTTGTTTGTCTGGTGTAGAGCAGCACCAGGCTGGGCAAGTCTGCCAGCGCATGAATGGCACCAAAGCCGGCATTTAATGGGCTGAGTGTGATGAGGCTCTGTTGCATGAGCATTGTGACCCCAAAGGCCACGCACTGGGCTTCTCCATGCTCAGCAGCCAAGTGGGGATCCAGCTGATCTTTTTTTTTGTACCAAGGATTGAGCTCAGGAACTCAGGACCTTTCGCTTGCTCGGCAGGTGCCGGAACCACTGAGCTAAATCCCCAGCCCCGGCTGATCTTGAAGCCTGAGGTAGGGGGCTTCAGAGCTGCTCCATGGGGGTCCACTCCCAAACAGGAGGTCACCAGGCTGGGCTCCCCCGCCTCAGAGGCATCCACACAGCCAGCCTTGCCCCAATCCAGGAGATGGACACACAGCGTCGAAAGCACAAACCTGACTGTGGCCAGCTGGTTTGCATTCAGGCTCTTCCTCTGGGGGCCTGGCCTTAGATTTAACCCTCGGGACAATCGGACACAGTGAGTGAAACCGCTTCGGGATAGCCTCCTTTCCTAGCAACACACAATGTCTTAACAGACTTGAGTTCTTTGTGAAAGTACATTGGAGACTTAATGGGTTTGATAGATGAGTAGATTAAGAATTTTGAATTTAAAACCTATGGTCATGGACAAATGAAGTGCTCAGAGACACACAGAACTGGGTAGGAGAATTTCCATCCTCCCCTTGCAGGGAACCAGAGAGCTCTTCTCCTACCTTAATGTCGCTGTGATTGGACTCCGGCAGGGACAGGCGGAATCTGAAGGGAAGCAGGAAGAGATTAAGTAACGGGGGTAGATTTTAAAACAATAAGGAACAAACAAACAAAAAAGCAATTGTTGTTGTTGTTGTTCAAGAAGGCACTTTTTAAAAAAGCCATGCAGACAAACTCGGAAGGTTGTGAAGTTCTGTTGCGTCTTCTACCACTGTGTTTTGTTTTATGACCTCGTGGTTTCCCAGGTGCCTTTGTTGATACAGGAGGCTGACTGACTGTTGGCAAACCAGCACGCAGAGCAACGGGAAGAAAGAGCTTTTCGGTCTCTGGGCTCTGAATTCAACCTTCACACTACCCGAGCCCTTACTAGAATCGAAGTCCTCTTGGGAGTCCCATGTTCAGTCTCGGTGACGCCCTCAGGAGGCCGTGGTAACCAGACACCCACCTATCTATCATCTATCTATTGATCTGTCGATCTATCTATCTATCTATCTATCAATATCAATCGTGCGTACTAGGGTATGACTGTTAATCCTGATGTGTCAACTCTGTGGGGTCAAGAAACACCTACAGACCAGTAGAGCATGCTCCTGGGTGTGTCTGGGTGTGTCCTGGAACCGTGACCTTGGGGACCATAGGGTCCCTCCCTCCTTCCTCTCCGGTGCTGTCCCCTGCTCTGATTCCGGCTGCCATTCTGCTGCTTTGCTCTGCCAGGCCACGACCCCGTCCCCATGATTTTCTTTTCTTTTTCTTTTTTTTTTTTTTTGCGGTACCAGGGATTGAACTCAGGACCTGGCACTTGTGAGGCAGGTGCAGTGCCCTGAGCTACATCCCCAGCCCATGATGTTTCTGCTTGGAGCCAGTGGAGCACTGAAAATGTGAACCACCTGGCCGGGGATTTAGCTCAGTTCTGCCACCTGCCTAGAAAGCGCAAGGACCCAAGTTCAATCTCCGGTATCAAAAAAAGAAAATGTGAGCTACCTAAAACCTCTCCTCCTCTGAACTGTGGCTGTTGGGTTGTCAGGCAGTCATGGCCAGCAGCAGGGAAAGCTGGCTGAGACATGGAGCTGAGCCCAGGGCCCCCACTCCTCGGCAGGCGCTGCCCACCAAGTGGCACCGTAGCCCCACCTTAGTCAGTCATGGCACGCAGAGGAGCCCTAGCGATGGGAGCTACCTGATGGGAAAGGTGGTGCACAGAATTGCGAACAGGGTGCCTGAGTTCGAATCCCACTTCTTTCCCTCACTAACCCTGTAGACTTACTTCCCTGATGGCTCTGGATCTCAATTTGCACAACTATAAAATTGCCTTGTGAGCAGTACCGCCTGTGTTGTGAGCAGAGTTGTAGGGAGAACTGAACGAGATAATGCAAGTCGGATGGTTGGGCCTGTGCCCCGCCCATCCTTGCCACTAACATCTCCATTAGGTGCCAGGACCCCAAAAGCTGGCACAGGATGTCCTTGACGTCCTTTATAAACACCCTGGAGAACACTAGCTGTGGGTGCGCATGGCAGGAGGCCCAGTCCTGAGCCTGGCAGGGTGGCTGACAGCGAGACCCCGAGGGTTGATGGTTTCTCTGGGATTTTCATGAGGAAGCTGATGGCAGCGCTGCCTCTTCCCCAGGTAGCTGAGGGCTGATCCAGAGCTCATCTTCCTGAGACACACGCCCGATTCTGCACACAGCTGCGATAACAGTACGAAGAAGCGCTCGGCAGAGAGAACTGCTTCGTGTAGCAGGGGGGAAACTGAGGTCCAAAGAGGAGAAATGGTAATGGCACATCTGGGACTGGAGGCCAGCTCTCCGGACCTGGTCCTGGAGTTCTCTTCGTGCAAGGGTGCGACCTCGTCTTGCTTTCCCCCTGTAGCTCTCCATGGCTCACGTTTGCCTGTCTGGAGCCTCACTTCAGCGTTAGCCTCTACCAAATCTCTGTCTCCAGTCTCCTTTTTTCCTTTTTGCAGTGCTGGGGATTGAACACAGGCCTCCACACTGAGCTGCGTCCCCTGCCCTTTTCTTTTAACTTGATGTAGGATCTCACTAGGTCACTAAGTTGCCCGGCCTGGGCTTGAATTTGCGATCCTCCTGCCTCAGCTTGCCATTGCGTTGGGATTACAGGTGTGCACCACCACACTTGGCTTTGTCCCCAGTCCTGGTCTTCTGCAGTTTGCCTTCTGCACTGTCCCCGGGACAAGCTGTTTCCCACGTCTGATGAGAACTCTCCTCGTCAAGATTATTTACTGGCTGTGACAAAGTCCAAGTCGCTTAGGTGGCGGAGATTTCCTGTGCCCTGGCTCCCAGGTGCCTCTTCCACCTCATTTCTTTGTTCTGCCTCGAATTTTATTATCACGAGCCCTGAGATACTCAGTGCTGTGCTGAGTCATTCACCACACTCTGTAGACCTGGGCTTAGAACAGGTATTGCTTCCAAAACACATCCTTAAAAAATCCTTAAAAGTTAGTAAATATCATCAAAAAGTAATGGCACCATCATGCTGTGGCTGGAGACCACTGCAAGGCTAGGGTGGGGTGGGTGGCAGAATCCTGGGCCCTTTGCCTGTTACTCTTGCATTAAGGCTTTTGATTTGAGTTTTCTCCCAATGCAGTCCAGAACCTAAAAGTGGTTTTTGCTAAAAGCCATGACTTTTCACTTGTGCCTGGAAATGCCAAACAGATGAAAGCTTGGTTTATGTAGTGAAACTCGGTAAAAGCCTTCTCAGTGCTGCACACAGGCTTGAGAGCCATTCAGGGAGAGGCTGTTTGTTGGCCCTAACTCCACCTAGTCCGGGTCATCGCCAGTCAAGACCGAGGACACAGAATGCGGGATTTTTCAGGGATGTTCAGCCATGCCCAGAACCTGCCCTGCTCTAAACCTTCGGTTGCCCTGGAGTCCAGTAGAGCCCTGCATGACTGCCATTGCCCCAAGAGTTGCTGGGTTTCAACCTGAGCCATGAAACCAGGATGGAGCTGATAATCACAGGACCTGGCCCACCTGAGCTGACCCTGAAGAGCTGGTCCTACTTTGTGGGGAGACCCCTGAACCCCTGAATCAGAGTGCACCCCTCCAGCTACTCAAACCTTTCCTAGAAATTAGTGTTTTCATTTTACTTTCCATCTCCACTAAAGTAAGGACCCATGCTAGCTGTTGTTGCAACATTACGGCGACAAGTCACTGCACCTGAACACCACTCATAGTTAGATATAGTCACAGTTAATGTTGGCTGCATTTGAAATATGCAGTATACCTTAGGGTGGAGTCCCCAGACATCAGAATGACTGAGGAAGAGCATGAGGCAGCTGCGAGGTTATTTCCTTGCACGATCCTCATGCTATTTGCCTCTCTGCCTTGGCTCATGCATTTCCCTGACTCTGGACTTCGCCTCGTCCCCTTCTCTCTGTTTGGCATGATGGTTTAGATCAAAATGGCCCCAAAGCCTCCTGGGTTTGGAAAGGGATTGGCTTGTGGGACTTGGAGCTGACTTGCCGTCAGGCGGTGGGGCCCAGGGGGGAGAGGCGGTCACTGTGATGGTGACCTGAAAGGTCCATCTCCCTCCCCGGCTCCTCCTTTCTCTCTCCGCTTCCTGTCCGCCACACTAAGAGCAGCTCTCCTCCGCCAGGCCCTCTGTCATGCCACCGTGCCATGGAGCCAGCTATGGACTGAAAGGAGAGGCAAGACAAAGCTCTTCTTCCGTAAGTTGTGGGTGTTGGGAATTGTGTCTAGGCAATGAGGAGGGAACTAAGACAACTGGTGAACTCTTTGTAATCTCTTACAATTTAAAGTGCTTCGTCTTCCAAGAATCATTCTGTGACATTTAAAGAGCAGATTTCATAGAAAGATGACATCGCTGACTATCAGTCAATGTCCTGTTAGCATGGGTTAGGTTTTGAGATGGCTTCAGATTGATAACGAACAATAAGTATTTGTTATTGATAACTAATATTAAAACCCAGAACCCCAGCTAAGTCTGGCAAGGATCAGAGATGGGGTCATGGGCACTGGGGCCCAAACTGGTCATTGTGGGACGTGAGGACCAGAACCTGCTGGGCTCTCTGAAGGCTCCCGCTGAAGAAATTCGAGGGCAGTGCCTCTCCTGGCCACACCTGCACTAGCTCAGAAATGCAGCTGCAGAACGGCTGGACTCACTCACGACCTCTCCTCTCCTGAAAACCAAGCCACGCCCGGCCGTCTCAGGAAGGCTCCACACGACCCTGGCCGGGTTTCCCGAGACCCTGGCTCTCCATGTCTCCCAGCGCTTCTGACTTCTGTCCACTTCCTGACGGGCTAGACACACCTGCAAGTTTGCTCACGAAGGGCTCCAACTGCAGAGAATCAGAGGAGCAAAGAGCAAACCCTCCCAGCTCACAAAAAACAGAAGGCTCACCTCTGGCCACTGGGTGGCGCCTGGCTCCAGTCCTTGACTTCCTCTACCAGCCAGCCAGCCTGCTCTATGCAGTTGTTGCTGAGAAAAGAGGCTCTCACAGCCCTACCTTGCAGGCATAGAGCCACCTACCTCAGGCAGGGACCAAGCCTAGTGACAGCACAGCTGCTTAGCATGTGTGAGACCCTGAGCACCATCCTCAGCGCGCGCGCGCGCACACACACACACACACACACACAACCACAGGTACAGATTGCCTAAAAAGTTTTAGAGAAGGTTTATCACTTGTATTAAAAACTGGCTGGGCGTGGTGGCACATACCCGTAATCTCAGCTACTCAGGAGTCCAAGGCAAGAGGATCTCAAGTTCAAGGTCAGCCTGGGCGATTTAGCAAGACCCTGTCTCAAAATGCAGTAAAAAGGGCTGGGGATGGAGCTCAGTGGTACAGCACTTGGCTACGCTCAATCCCCAGCACAGCAACACAACAACAACAGCAACAACAACAACAACAACAACAACAACAACAACAACAACAACACAGCTAAAGTGCAAATCTGAAGCATCCCGAAAGGTCATCCATGACCTGGTTGATGCAGCACAAATGACGTAATGTAGGCCAAGAGCCACAGGTACTAACAACGGCAGACAGCAAAGTCAGCCCACCCCTCAGACTC